TATAGCTGAGCAAAAGTGAGGCAAAGCCTCCGGATGGTGTGATAGATGGAGGGTCGTCACCCCCAGGACAGGCCCCGCCAACCCCTGAGGGCCCAGAAAGGGCAGAAGCAGCCAAGGGCTTTAGTGGCTCTCAGGGCTCCCCCAGCGGAGGAGGAGGATCCCAGGGTGAGTAGGGGCTTGGTGCTGTCGGGATTCTGGGGGTGCCAGGTGCTAGAGACAAGGAGTTTGGACATGGTATGTTCTGTGCCCCAATTTCATGGGTCCTTCCCCATTTAAGGGACACCTGCTGGGGTGATATTCACCAGGCAGTTTTGTCTCTTGATTTCACGGCTGCAAACTCATTTCCTAGTTAGGGTCCTTGCAGCCTGTTTTTTGTCCTAATGATATCATTTGGATTAACTGTGCCTGCTTAGATATGAAACTGTTTCTCCTGCATTCTTCTCACTAACTTGGGGTGTGGAAACCCCCATAATATCTCCAATAACAGGCACCTGGTGAGCCCTAGGCATTGGCCCCAGTCCCTAACCCATATTTACAGTCTATCAGTCACTTGTCTTAATCCCTGTTCAAATGTGCCTGTTTGGGCTGACTCACTGTTCCAATTCTCCCCCCTCAGGTAAAATGCAAAGACTGTGGGGCATTTGGGCACAAGGCAAGGAGCACCCGGTGTCCCATGAAGCGCTGGGATGGTGCCCTAGCCCCTCAGCCCCTGGGCTCCCAGAGGATGAAGGAGAACCGACAAGTGTGCTCGCCTCGGGACACTGGGAATGAAGGATCCACAGCTAGGCTTCCTGGGCAAATGGAGCAGAGTTTCAGGTGAGCACTGTAGAAATTGGAGCCAAACCTTGAAGGAAATTCATGGGGCTGGGGCCCTTATCTCTCCATGATCTGCATTACCATCTCTAAGCAAGGATGGGGACAGAGAGAGAAGGAGACCCCTGTCTCCAGGGTAATATTTAGGTGGTCATTCTCCTGCTGGGGGAACACTAGTGCGGTGGAGGCCAGTGAGAGGGGTGAGATCAGCTGGGATTCCTAGGACATGCAGAGAGGCCATGGTGTAAAATGAACATCCTTTAAGCACAAGTCTGCAAGGGCCCCTCAGCAAACAAGCAGGTCATGTCTGAAGGGATGGGAGCGCCCGTGTGGTAAAGGCATCTGGCCCCAGTCTGGGTCTCACATGGGAACAGGGTCAGGGCCTGGGCCACAGAAAGCTTTGTCTCCATTGAGGACAAAGACTAGAGTGACTTTCACTCACCACATTGTGTCCTGCAGCCAAGAAGACCAGCAGAGACAGGCTCTGCTCCAGAGATTTCCCAGAAGACCCCTGGTGAGGCTGCCGCCACCCCAGAAAAGTCAGACAGAACCCTGTGACTATGTGAGGGTGAGTGTCCCTGGTGTCCTGGCCCTTCTAATTCTCTGGGTGAATCCCTCTCCCCTCAGTGTGTTTCTCTGGGAGGGAATTTTGGGACTTCTAATGGGAACTCGCTTTTTACTGGAGGATATTTTCCTAATGTCACCTTCCAGGGTGCCTCTGATTGTGCCTTGCACTTACATATGTGCAGACGATGCGCTGCTGGTGGGTGAGGACATGACCTCACTGGATGTTTGCAGGAGATGGGATCTTTTAGGGGGAACTGGCATGTTGAAATTGGAAACCCTACACCCATTTGATCTCCCAAGCTCATTAACTGTCAAACTGCCTTCATACAATCTCAGTTGTTTCCATTTCCTGAATGAGAAAAGCACAGGGATATTTCGATACCCTAACAGCAGACACATGTAGGAATTTTGTGTTTTGTCTGCTGTCAGGTTTGGTAGAGAGGGAACTTTTTGACGTCTGTCACTCTGACCAGCACTGAGGTCAGCGACCTCTTCATCTGGGGGCACAGCAATTTCTCTTCATGTCTTGTTGTAAGAACTGTTCATTCTACTTTGTTTACTCTTATTTTGTCTTTGATGGAGAGGGAACACTAATGTTTAATATGATATTGTCTTTTACTCCAGCACTCACACCGGCCTATGCCAGTTCACACGACCCAGAGAAGAGGTGTGGGAGGCCCTGGTTTCAACACTAGGACCTCAGACAGAAAACCTCATGAGACATCCACAGTGTCTCCTATCCACAGAGCTGAGAGGAACACCTTCTCACCACTGATGCTAAGTAAGGGACAGGAAGTTCCTGTCAGCGACAGCCATCACCCAGGAGGCACAGGCTTTGTCCAGGGTCCTGGCTTCAACCCACATAGTCCAGGTCATGGCCTCATTCCTCAGGCACAGGCCAAAAACCCTAGCATTGAGTCACCAAGCATGGGACAGGCTGCTGCCCACAGTTCTGGACAGGACTCCAAAGTCAGCCTCGAGGCACCTGGCAAGAGGGCTGCGCAGAACCCTGTGCAGACCGGCCAGAATGAACGAAAGAAGGCCAGACTCGGCTCCCCACTGTCTTCCCAGGAAAGCAACCTGAGGGCAGACCTGGTATGTGTCCATCCCGGTCTTCCTCCAGCAAGTGCTCCAGCACTCAGACCTGCACTAGCACCTCAGGCTCCCAGGAAGACACCTGCCCAGGGTCAAAGTGTTCACCTGAAGCCTCCACCTAAGGGACCTCTCCTGGCCACTGTCCATGCCTGTCTTGTGTCCCAGCACCTTTTGCTCCCCCAGACCCGCCACCAGCCCCTCAGAATGGTCTTGAGGAAGTTAAAGAGAGGCCAGTGGAGCTCCAGACTCCTGACCACTCCCTCAGGGCTGCCTGCTGAGGAGCCTGCCCCTGCTGCTGAGAGCCCTTCCTCCCCAGTGATGTCAGAGGGACCCTGTGCCTGCGTTCCTTCAAGTGTCCTCTACCAGGACCTACAGGTCTCCTCCTCCTCTGAAGACAGCGAGGACATGCAGGTCTGCTCCTCCTCCAAGGAAAGTGATTGACAGTGAGATGGCCCTGTCTGCAAGACCTGTCCTCCACACTGGGTGACCTGGGGTTACTGTGGAAGTAGGGAGGGGAAGTCACTGAGAGCCACTGTTTCTGGGGAACCGGCCACTCCCCTGCTTTGCTCTGTGGACAACTGGTGGGAATACATCCTGTTTGGGGACACAAAGGTGTAAATACTACCACTTTTATCATGTGAGTTAAGTGATATTTCTAAAAGTATTTGTTATTAGGTCCTGTTAATTAGGTGATATTGCTAATGGTATGTTTTATTATGTGATGTTAATTTTGTAAATTTAAATTGATGCATAAGAAGTTAAGTCAGTTTGGAATAGTAGCTTTTACACTGTACAGTAAATAAGAAGCTGGGTAATGAATTTATGTGAGGTTGGCACCTGCCTCACCTTGGACACACTGGGCACAGGCCTGGGGACAGCACTGCAGGTTCGAGGCAGTGACTGAGGGGAGACTGTCCACTGGGTGGAGTTTTTCAGTGGAAAGCAGGACGGGGCCCCTTCTGCTGACTTTGTACCTTTAGTTTTGGAGATGTCCTTATAAAGTTGTGTTTACAAGTCTCTTTCATTTTAATAAATTTCTGCCAAACATTGGTTATAGTTGGCCTCAATATTTGAGCATTTCCGGTCATTTCAAAAGCAGTGGTTTTTTCTCAAAGCTCATTTCACCAAGAAACATGGTTAGTCTGGTAGGACAGATTGCCTCTTAGACCTGCAGAACCTCCAGCTCACCCAGCTGGACAGTGTCAGTTTGCAAATATCCAAGACATGCTCTCCTGAGTCTGATGTAGCTTGAAATGAGGTTTTCTTGTACACAGGGTGAGAGTGCTTTGGGCCTACATTCGACTCGGGCAGTTTTCATAGACACTCATTCCTGACTCTCACTCTGAGTAATTCTAACTTTCTATGTGTGCCTTAAGGTGAAGCACTGGGCATTTGGAGGCTCCCCTGATGGTGGTAGTGGGCAGCTGTATTTGAGAACCACTAGAGTTGAGGGTCAAATTATCTCCTGAGTCAAGCTCCCTCCATTCTCTACTTCAGGACAAGTTCAGACTAGGTCAAAGTCAACACTATGGCCCAGTAGAAATAATTTTCTTAGAAAGAGCACATGACTGCTCCTTCCTCCCGCCCTGGAGGAAGCAATTCCTGGTGCAATCCTGGGACTGTGAGTTCCCATCACAGTGCATCCGGTGCATTGCCCTGCACTTAGCAGACTTTGCCCAATCATTTACTCGCCTGCAGTACGTAGGGACCATCACTCTTAGAATTCTCATTGTTTATGGCACTCTGATGGTCTTTTTGGCCATGGTTACTATCTCCCATGATTTTGATCATCATTCTTTTTGTCATGAGATATTGTAGTGTGTGGCGTCACACAGCAATACATCCAGTCTCTCTCTTCTTGCAGAGTGTCAGTGTCATCACAGACAAAATACACACAGCGGGTCTTAGATATTGTTCGCCATGGTGTCCTTCCCGAGGATGAGTTTCCAATTTTCCCGTGTCCCCTTCACCGCAGGGACTTTCTTAGGCTTCATGAGGAGACTTGAGTAGCATGTTCTCTCCTTGTCTCAGCAAGGGGAAACACTCTTGGATCTCCATGAAAGACACGTGGATACCCGTGAGCCATAGAGTAAACCCCTGGGACACACCTGTCCAATGCACCTTTGGCGGTTCTGGGTCCGGTTCTCATTGTCAATCAACTTGCGGAACAGTGTGGAGCAGCAGAAGCGCACAATCCCAGCACCTGCGGGACTCACAGGCCGAGCTTGGAAACGCTAAGTGTCTTCGGACTTGTGTTCAAGTTGTTGCCACGGAAACTCCCCTCCATTCAGTACTTGCGGCTCCACAAAAAGTTTTTCCTTGAAACGTATTAACCACTGAACGTGGAACAGCCCCCAAGAGCCTAGGACACCCTGGCCAATCGGGAGAGAAACAGGGAGACTCAAGCGAGGAGGGCGGAAGTGCAGACCGGAGAGGCGGGGCTGCAGGATGTTGACCGCGAGGCACCGCCCACCGCGAGCCCCAAGTTCCGGTCGCGGGCCGCTCAGCCGGAGCTTCCGGGTCCGCGCCCCAGAGCTCTGCGCACCCCGCTGAACTGGAAACGGAGTCCCCGTATCCCCAGTTCCTGTCCAGCGTGTGGGTTCCAGTGTTCGGTTTCAGAGCAGCAGTTTTCCGGCCTCACCGCCCTCCGCACCCGCCCACCCCGCTTCTGCAATGAGTCGGTGGGGAGACCAACGCAGCGACCGCCACCCGCGCGCGCGGTGTCCTGTTCGCGGGACTTCGTGTTGCCACCCCAGGCCCCCAGGTGCCTGTTCGGCGTTGGGTTCTGTGCTCCCCATCGACGCCAACTTAACCTCATGCAGAGGCGCCCTTGGACTCCGGCTTTCTGCCCTGTTCCTGCCTGGGAGTCTCCTCTTTGCTGCCGACGCTAGGACGAGCCCCCTGGGGAAGGCTGTGCAGATCCCCTCTCTCCCCTGGTTTGCAGCGCAGGTTCTCCCGACATCCCAGCTGTCTCTTGAGATCCCCCATCCCTCACTGGACGGACACGGGAAGAAGTGTGTAAAGGGATCCCTCCATAGTCACCTAGGTAAATCTGATCGCCTTCATGAAACAGAGACTATGTGTTGCTGTTAAGCAGCGATTTGCAGCCTTTTTCATTTCATGGCATGCATAGAGAGACTACTAAAATTCTGCAGCACATCAAATATACATATACGTTTTTTGTAATTTGACAGAGATAGCCATAATTTTGATTTATATACTATTACAAATAATAATAATACTTACGCACCCTTATTGTTTCAAAGTGACTTTTTAAAAACCAGGTAACTAGACCAGTATACAAGGATTTCTGGTACCATGAATGCACCATGAGATGCCACCTTATTATGGACAAGACCACTAAGATGCAACTCCATAGTGTGTGCTATATGTTCATGCTTCCAGACGGGGCATTCACATCAGGTGGTGATGGTTGTGTTGGCTATTGCCATTTGTTTTACTTGAAAATCTAAGGGAGAAGATATTAATGCCCCTCACTGAATAGTAAAGTGTGGAATGTTGTAAAAATTCTCATGGCACACCAGTTGAAACTTGCTGGTGTATGGCATCAGTAAAATTAATTCCTAACAAGAAGTGCTGTTGGAAGATCAAGAAGTGGGTGCAATTCATGGGCACATGGTCCCTCTGACATCCCTGAGAAGGGAGGGAGGACTCTGAGCAGGAGGGGCCAGATCCTCAGCAGGCAGCACTGAGGGACCCATCAGGAATCTGGAGCTCCCCTGGCCTCTGTTGAACTTCGTGAAAACTGGGAATACCATAGCCTGTTTAAATGCTAGGAGAATGGATCAGATTGAGAGAGTCATTTAAGGTAAAGTGTATACATGTTAAATTATGACATAAAATTTATAATATAGCAGGAAGGAATCAGAACCAAACTTAAAAGAACAAGTAAATTACTTAGCTGAGAGCAAAGGTAATTTATTTCCTTTTGCGAGGGAGATGGCATAGCCAATGAACGACAGTGCAGAAATATGTGAAATCGAGTGTTTGAAAGTACCTATGTGCAATGTGACCTCTTACCCAGGTGAAATAGTTTATCAACCACGTAGTGAAAATGAGAGAAAAGAGCAGCGTGTGGAGAATGAATGTAAATGGCAAAGCTCTGAAATGCCCTCTAGTGAGCATTTGAGAACCATCTGACCTTGACCTGCCTGACCTAGTAGGGTTGCCAGGGAGTTTTTAAGAAGTGTGTCCGCAGATGCAATGGCCTGCATACTATGTCTCTGGTTTAGTGATTTTTCTCTTGGGAACCAAGAAATTTAGGGCAGAAGAGCCTCCCTCCTCAATCATAAGAACTTCTTTCACAGGTATAAACCAATGTGGATGACATAGAAGTAAAATTAGTTATTGTATTTTACCAACTAGTAATGTTTTTATCTCCCCACTACCCAAGAAATGAAGTATAAAGTCATCTTCTCAGTTTTTGCACAGTTAATAAATTCTTAACATGGATTTGAAAGTTCTATGTGGTCAGTGCCCTCACACTCAAATTCTCCATCCCAGGAATGTATCTTAGATGTCACATCGTTATTGGTTTTTTAGATTTTTTTCACATTTTATTTTATGTTTAAGTCTACATTTCCTACAGAAAATTGCACCCCATGTCTACAGAAACCAATTGTGGCTGATGCTCTGCTTCAGTTCCGAGACAAGTAATATTTCCTATAAACGGAGAGTATTCAGAAAGACCTATAAGCAAATAAAGGAAATAATCTGTTTTCCTATCACATCCTCACAATGTCTTTATCATCTTTTCTTTCTAAGCTCTAACTTTGCTTGAGGGTTCTAATATCCTATTAGTCTGGAGAATGCAATCCAACTGAATAGGGTGTAGCACACAGATAGAAACTGAATTGAAGTTAATACGTGTCAATGCAATCAGGGTGTGTCCTAGGAATGTAGCCATATGTAGATTTAGTAACTGTCTTCTCAGGATAAAAGTCAGTCGAACAGGATCAATTTCTTTGCCCCCCTAGAGAAGAAGCTGAACATACCAGGGTTTCAGAAGAAGAGGAATTGGCTTCTGTGTCCAGCTGGCCTCAGCACACATTTGGCGTCACCACCTCCTCCAGTTTAGGGTTCTGGTGAGTTCTCCAAATGCTAAGACATGAGCTGACTCATCCCCTTAAAATGATACAAGTCATGTCAAAGCTGCCCATGATCTTTCAATTTTATTACATAAATATGCATGCCATCCCCCTCCTTTCTGATAATTTGACTATTTGTGTTTATTTCCTATTCTTGCCTTGAATCTATTTTCAATTTTAACTACTTACCCTAATCCTAGATCTTACTGTCCAACACAGTAACTGCCAATTTCATGGGACTATAAATTTTAAACTACTTAAGTGTAATAGCTGAACTTCACATCCTCGATAGCACTAGCCCAGTGCCTTACTTGGAATTCCAGTGTTCTGTATTCATAATTCCAGCAGAGACTGGATTGTTCAATGCAGAGAGCATGCCCTTTAGCTTGCAAAGTTTATTTGGCACCTTGATCTATGTCTTATGTTTTTATTTATTTATTATGGATCTATATGCTTCATTTTTGTTGTTTCTGTGAACTAACTTCCTTTCATGTGTTTTATCAAGGGATACTCTTCATTTTATTTCACAAATGCCTTGAGATGGGTTGTTATATTTATTTTAATCATTAAAATATTAACATATATTTAAGGCAAGTGATTTCTGTTAAGGTTGTTCAGCTTTATTCCATTTCTACTGCTGCATAAGCTAACTATTTCAATGCAATTTTTCATAATGTATTTTTTAAAATTCTGCCAACATTATGGAAAAGACAATTTTTACCCACTAATTTTCAGTTGACAGATTATGCCTTCTACGGTTGTCATTATGTTCTGGTGTTGGTCATTGGTTTATAAGACTGCTGCATATTCCTCTTTTAAAAAAGCAATTTTCCTCCATCTTGGAGCACAAACCTCTTGTGTGCAGGGTCTACCGTGCACTTTAAAAATAGATCTTGTGTTTCAGGTTATGGTGCTTCCATAGACAAAATTCTAGAATAATTGTAAACCTAACTCTAATTTCCACATTCTTGAGTTGCATTGGGTGTATTGGATGCTTAAAGTCACAAAAGATTGAGCTTTCATTTGTAATCTTGGCTGAGATGATATATTTTTCCACTTTAAGTATTAATTGAGAGTCCATTGGTTTGGGTTTCTCTGGTTTGTCTTTGCCTTTATTGCTGAGCACTTGTAAACGGTAAGAGGCAGGATGCAACACTATTTCAGGTGTGTCAGTTGCTCAACCCTAGCACCTGGAATAGTGTGTAGCCATTTTCAGTGTGGAATAAATTGTGTGACTGGGTGTGGACTTGCCAGAATCTAAGAAAGATCAGGTCCTATGGAGTTCCTTTTGTGAGTAGGTCTCGCTGAAGCTGTGACCACCTTCCCTGCCTTCTATACTGGTACAGACGCAGCTCACGGTGCCTACAAACATTATTGACTTTGACCATAAGGGCCATCCTATTGCATGTGCTAGGGGTACCCTAGATTTCAAACAGGACTGAATGACAGATTCCCAACATTCTACAGAAGAAAACATTCAAGGGTAAAAAATAACATTTCATTTCATCTGAATTTGCCTTGAAGTCAAAACTAAGCAGAAACCTATGGCCAATTCTGGATTAGTTTTCCAAACCCTTCTCTCCTTGTAATCCAATCACTAACTAAATCCATTTATTGTGTGCCCTCAGGAACACAATAAATGGCATTTTCCCAATACTAAATGCATTTTTACAGGTAGAACATCCTGCATTCCTCTGGGGTGACTCTTTCATATCTGATTGAAACTGATAACTGGTGTTTTGGTTTGATTGGGAAAATATTTGAGAAAAGATTTCTTCAGAGGAGATTATTATTTCAAGATAAAAAATGAGATCAATTGACTGTGAATATATAGAGTTGTTTCTGCTAAAAGAGAATTGCAGGACTTTCGGCCATGATGGAGGTGTAGGTAGATACACTGTGCCTCCTCGCACAACTGAAAAAATGATAACAACAAATTAAAAAACAAAAAACCAACAGAACTCACAGGAAATAGAACTGTATGTAATTTGACAAACAAGGAGTTAGAGAAGAAACACACATCCAGACCGGTAAGAGGGGCAAAGATGGGAACCTTGGGTAGAAATGATGTGTTGCAAGGCAGAACCTGGTGGGCCAGGCAGTCCTACATTTTCATGCAGAGAAACCGGGAGGAACAACTGGGGAGCAATACAGACTGGGCAACCCAGGGTTCCAGCACATGGCAATAGAGTCTCAAATCCTCTGACTGAAAAAAAACCTGTGGGGGTTGATATGGTGGGAGAAACTCTCAGCCTCACATGAGAGTTTGTGGAGAGACCCACAGATTCCTAGAACATACACAAATCCAGCCACCAGGGAATCAGCACCAGAAGAGCTCGATGGCATGTGGGTAGTGGAGGAAGTGACTGAAAGCCACCTGAGAGCCAAGCAAGTAAGACTGTTCCCTCTCAGACTCCTCCCCCACATACAGTGCCATGATGCAGGAATGTGGGTTATGACACCTTGGTCAATGTGTGTTGAAACGAGGATGTGTGGCTTAAACAGGACAATAAAAAGAAGACAAGTTATGCTTGGGAAGTGGGGTCTATACTTTGGAGGGATCCCATGCAGTAGGGAACCTGGACATCAGGAGTAGTTTTGTGAAAATGTAAGGAGACATTGTTTTAACAGTGCATTTCTTCTGATCACTTCCCTTAGAGGTACGCTTCCAAGTAAGACCGAGCTGTGCTGTGTCACCCTAAAAGAGTTTGAGCACAGGATCCAGACCGAGTAATATTCCACAACAGCTATTCCATTTTCTACTTATAAAACTTTGTCATATTGCTAAAGTTTTGGAACCTCTGTTTCTGTCATGTCTAAATTGATCAAAAACTATCATCAGCTTGTATATTGTGGAAATTAATAAACAAATATATGTAAAGCTGTAACTACACAGTCACATTTAATCCACATTTAACTTTTTCCCCACTGGAGCTCAGGTACAAATGGGTGAATGAATTATTCTTTCTTTATGATGCATTTTCATTACTTGCCCATAAAACATACTTAATTATTGATATGTTAGAGAAGAAATTATAGTTCATAAGTACTTTCTCACACATGTACATATATCTATATATTTTCCTATACATATGTATATATGCAATTGAAAAGGAACATTGTATCTAATGAAGATAAATAGGACTTGATTAAAGGGTTTCAGCTACTACTTGACAAATTACCAGGTGGGCCAACTACATTTCCTCATAAAGTCCAGCCATCCTGTATTCTCTGGGCACCTTTACTGACAGGACTTAGGGCATACATAAAACTTAATATATGACTCATACCTGTTTTTCCTTACTTTCAGATGCTGGGATTCGAAACATTTAACTGGGGTAATGGGTGCATTTGATCCGGACAAATGGAATACAACAGTGAGTGGATGAACTCTACCATCAAAAAGGTTCTTAGTTGTTTGGTATCCAGGCCCATGAGGAACTTGTGAGAGGAAGGGGTGAGGGGTCAAGAGGGCTCCAGGTAGGTTGGGGAACAAATTGAAACATAAAAACACAAAAAGAGATTTTGCACAAAACCCACAAAAAAAAGAGGAAAAATGACACCTGAGAAATTCCACAGTGTTTACTAGCAGGTGGAAACCAAAGTCTACATATAGTGTGAGTCAGGGATTGCTGTATTTAGAAATAAGGAAGGGAATTCAATACTTGTAGATATCACAAGCTCATTAATATAGGAAACTCAGTACTCATCAAGTTCTTAGTTGTAAGATATCTTTATTTTGGTCTTCTTTGTAGCAAGCACAGCTACCCTCCTATTACAATCGACCTGGGAGAGCAGAGACTTCTGCATGTTACTCACAGAGTGCAGCACTCATTTCAGATCATCAGGCTGGAAGCAGGGAACACACCCAGGTGAACACTGGGGCTTTGTGATAGGCACAGCTGAAAGTCAACCACAGACTGCTTCTTTTTCTGTCCCCAGCTTTGCCTGCTTAGTGCTTGGACCATCTGTGAGGGAGAACCCAGAGAAGGACACCTGGAAGCTGGCCTACTGACTGTGAAGTCCCTGGTGAGTAGGGGATGCCACTTCCTTCTGCTGTAATATCACCTTCAGGGCCATTAGATGGGCAAGTTCTTCCTAGTGGCAGGGATGTCCAAGTGCAAGCACAGGGAGTTCAGGCACCTGAGCTCCAAATAAGCTTGCCCACAACTGTGCAACCATGATCCTGAGTCAGGAACTCATTGATAACGGATCTCCCTTCCCAATATCACACAAAATTATGCCAGGCTTCTCTAGGCTTGCTGATTCACAGAAGAGCAAGAGAAGTTTTCTTTCTCTCAGCGAGTCATAGGCTTACTGGCCAATCATTAACACATCAGACGTGTCTTTGTTTGTGGTGCTCTTAGGATGGTGATGATGGAAAATGGCAGAGATGGAGAAGGAGCAGAGCATGACAGGCCAGTGGGGAGGTTGCTGAGTGAGCACGTGTGCATGGGTGATCAGTGTTAGGAGAATCACAGTGAGGTCCACTCAGTGGAGAGGAGCAGGAGAGGGTTAGTAAGGAGAAGGAATCGCATTTTCCCCCATTTTAAATCTCTTCCAATTAGCAGAGGGTACTTGCATTTTTGAACATTTCTAAGTGTAACTGAAGTTATCATTTTCTCTCTTGCCCATCCCATTTTTACCTCGTAGTAAAAAAAAAGCAATATATATGCAGGGAATAGGATTTTCTTAATCGTGCTACATATAAAGGAGAAGGGGTAGAGTAGGTAGAGAAAAAGTTGGGTGCTATGTAAATATTTGAAAAACTGAGTAGACCAAAGGCAATCAAAAGTCTTATTTTATTTTTTTGCACGGAAAGTAGATAAAGCTGCAATGGAAGCAGGGATAGCTGCTGTTTTCGGTCTCAAATAAAGTGGAGCATGGTGGCCTCTTCCCACAGGACAGTCAGCTGAGACTGTCCTTTAGCACAGCCTCTCAGAGGGCTCTGGCCTGTGCTGCTAAAGCCCTCCACCTCTTGTTTGTTATGTTCCCCTGAGTCCTGTAGCTGTAAGATAGACACACGTACTGGTATCACATTCTGCAGACTTGTTCAGTTCTGAGGGATGCTAGAGATACTTCCAAGGTTCTCTGACATTTTAATGATGTATAGAGTAATGTTTTGTGTTTAATGAAGGTTTGCTAGACAAGAATTATTTTGTACATTATACACTGAATCTTTCAACACTCATAACAAGTACTGAAACCAGCTTATAGATGAGGAACTGGAAATTTATCTAGGAAAATAATTTCTGCCAATGGTCATGTTTTGGAAGGACCACATCATGGTCATTGTTTGGTTTGTAATGAATCTATAGGGTTGCTTGAAATTCATGGAAAGGAAATATTTTCTTTGAAATTTTGAAGTGAGTATTTTCTAATCACCTGTCTGGACATTCTAATGACCAGGTTACTGAAAAACCCTCAGGTTGTATTTTGTCATAGTTCAGGTGAGGCATCTTTACACTATATTATCATGGACTCATGTGTGTGTGTTTCTGTGGGTGTGTCAGAAGGGCAGATACCAGCTCAGCACTGACAGTTAAGTGAGTAGAACCCCAAACACAGGTTGATCTGTCTACACATCCAGCTGCCCCTCATTTCCTCAGTGCTGTGGTCTCAGCTTCTTCTGCTCACTGGCAGCAATTGTTCTGTGTGACTGAAATACCCATTTCAGTCACACAGTCTTTTAAGAATCTGTGACCTTCAAGGATGTAGCTTTACTGTTAATTTTCCCATGAACAGTGGGCCCTTCTGGACATGTCCCAAAAGAAGGTCTTTAGAGACGTGATGCTGGAGAGCATCAGTCACCTGGTTTTTGTGGGTGAGTCGTGAAACCTGTGTGAGTGTGCATATGTGTGTATGTGTCCATTCATTCACATATCCAGCAGGGACACAGAGCAGCTGCCACCGTCCCAGCCCTGTTACTGGCCTGAGTCTCTCATGACCCTCATTACTGCTCAGAGGCAAGATGTTTGTTTTACATTGTGTTTTCATCAGCACACCACAATGTCATCTCAACCACAATTTTATAACTTTTGGCTATTCTGTATCCAGTTGTGAGAACAGAACAGGGAAATCAGTGGATACTGTTAATTTGAAAATGATTGATCAAGTATTTTAAAATATTTATTATGTTTTTGTGTAGTTTGAGGCTTAAGAAGAGGGCATTGAAAATAAGATAATTTTGATTATTCTTGTGGAACTTGTGGTGATTCGGTTCTGTTTGAAAATAATATTTGACCCATTCTGGAGGGATTAACATCTCGTGTGGAGAAAACTGGGCATTCTGAGTTCTCTCTTTGAACTTGATCCTGGGCATGAGCACCTAGCAGTCCTCCTTGTTTCTGCCACTGGTCTGCAGTTCTTCCCAGGCTGGTGGAGAAACTGCCATCTTTTCTCTGTTGAAGGTTGATGTGGATCTCAGATCCTAGGGTCCACGGCATTATGGATGAGATGAGACAAATTCACATGGACTACTGAGTCCTGTGGAGGAAAGGGAACAGTATGGCTTTTGTCTCAAGGGGAGAGAGAAGGTGGAAACTCTAGTTTCCACCTCCATCATCCGAGGCCAGCCTCCTGTAGTCCTGTGCCTCCAATCTCCTGCTCTTTTCTGATAAAAATAATGGTATTTGGATTTCAGGTTCTGCCTGAATTCATAATCTCTTCCTGAGAATGTTCAGTTGCTGAGATGTAAAAAGCATCCCTTTATCTCCATATGTCCGAGAAGTGCCCACACCCCAACTGTGAAGGCCCAGGCAGCAGATTAGTCCACAGACCTTGGGGTTGCCCCTAAAAGGCGGAGTTGCAGGCCATGCCCTTCATTTGAAGACCCACTCTGCCGGAGTAAATTCGCTCTGCAGCAAGAGCTGTCAGGTGGGACATCTAGTGAAGATAGTCTCAGGAGCCATGGAGGCTGCCTCTCAGCACCGAGCAGAAGAGGGACCCTACGGGGTCGGAGCTGGGCTTTGGAACCTAGGGAACACATGCTACGTGAATGCTGCCCTGCAGTGCTTGGCCCACACCCCACCGCTGGCCCACTACCTGCTGTCCCAGCGGCACTCGGACACCTGTCTGAAGCCAACATCCTGCGTCATGAGTGCCATGCAAGCTCACGTGACTCAGGCCCTCCTGCATCCTGGAGAAGCAGTCGAGCCCCCCAAGGAGCTGTTTGCTGGCTTCCATAGGCAGCAGCAGGAAGATGCCCACGAGTATCTCATGTTCACCATGGATGCTATGCAGCAAGCCTGTCTGCATGAACTGGGGCAGCTGGACAGGCCCTCTCCTGACACCACCCTGATCCGTCAGATATTCGGAGGCTACTGGAGATCTCAGATCAAGTGTCTCTGCTGCCACAGCGTGTCTAACACCCTGGACCCGTATCTGGACGTTGCCCTGGATATCCAGGGTGCTCAGAGTGTAGTCCAAGCCTTGGAAATGCTGGTGACGCCGGAAATGCTGGATGGTGACAATTGCTATCAGTGTAGCGTTTGCCTGAAGAAGGTCCCTGCCTGCAAGACTTTGACTTTGCACGCGGCCTCCAAGGTCCTTATTCTGTCTTTGAAACGTTTCTCGGCTTTCACAGGCAGCAAAACGGAGAAGGTTGTGCACTATCCTGAGCGCCTGGATGTGCACCAGTACCTGTCTGAGCAGAACACAGGGCCCCTTGTGTATGAGCTCTATGCTGTGCTGGTCCACTCTGGGCGGAATTGTTACAACGGACATTACTTCTGCTACATCAAAGCTGCAGATGGCCAGTGGTTCAAAATGAATGACGCTAAGGTGACCGCCTGTGCCACTTCTACTGCCCTGGGCCAATGTGCCTATGTCCTCTTTTATGTCCAGGAGAGTGAAATGGAAAGAGTCCGTGGGAGTGTGTCTGTGAGCAGGAAACCGGAGGTGCCCTGTGACGGAGCGTAAAGTCCTGGGATCGACCCAGCATGGCACTGAGAGTCACTCCAGTGTCACAGGTCCTGGGTCCCAGTTACCTGTGCAAGAGACTTCAGTCCAATACAGCACCTTAGAGTATTGGGGACGGCTGCAGGAGCCATCCTCACCCAAAGCCAAGTACAACCTCAAGAAAGCAGAATGTGCCCCGCCAGCTAACTCGGTCATGATTCGCCCACCCGTATGCTGGGGTATCATGCCCATGCGTCCTCTGGGACAGGAAAACTGCCCGCCATACAGTGCAGCCAGGGGGAAAGCCAGGGCGCACAAGAAAAAGAAGAAGGGGGCGCGGTCTCTGCAGGAAATCCAGTGATCACCACGGCCCCACGGGAGCTGGACTAGCCTTTAGGATTCTTTTCATGGTGGGCGAAGAGACAAGACTTGGACAGGTTTTTAAGTCCTATGGGTCCAGGATTGCTCCGTGGGGTGGGGGGTGGAATCTTAGGGGTCCTGGGAGGGGCACCGAGGCCACTGGAGGATTAGAAAGGAGGATGTGTATGGACAGTGAGGCACAGATGTCTGTCCCTGCAACTTGAGGCGATGTTCTTGACTGAGAGGGAGGAAATGTCCAGGGACCCAGAGTTGGGGCCCAAGTTCTGAAGGTAAACTGAGGCAGGAAGTCAGGGTCCTGTGGCAGGATTCTGGTGGTTTGATACGGGCAGATGAGTGGAAGAGAGCAGGGAAGGTTTGGGAATGAGAGGGAAGGAAAGGGAAGGGGGGTTCTGGGCTCACAGTGGGGCCTGGACCTGACACCATGGAAGGGGTGGGAAGAGGGGAGGGGGAAGGACAGGGGCACCTGGGGATGGTGTGGCTCAGACATCTGGGTCACCACTGGGAAGGTGACCCTCGCCGTCACCCAGGGAAGATGGAATCTAGCCTTGAGCCGTGAGGAGACAGTAGATCTGATTAGGGGCAAACCAATGCCGAAGATACAAGGGCACTGGGGTGAAGAGGCTGAAAGAAAAGAAGAGACAGGAATTGGGCCAGAGTCCAGAGGACCAGCACAAGGCTGAGGCGGAGGCCCCGGGCAGCAGGCTCCTCTCTGCCAGCTGGGTGGGCAGCAGAGAGGCAGCCGGGACTCAGCGGCAGGTGTGTCTGCCTTTGAGTACAACTTGTCTCTCCGTGGGAAGAACAGCCAGCCCTCTCCCAGAAAAGGTCTACTCAGTGTTCAGTAGCCAAAACTACTGAAATCCTTCCTAAGCAAAGTTATCATAAAGAGTGACGAGGACCCAAAATACTAACCATGACCACAGAGATAAGCAATTTCAATAGGGATGTTTCAGTTAAACTAAACTGCACAGTTGGAAATGGAATTTAACCCCCTCTAAGTCAATGACAATGACGCAGTGAGGTGACTCCTAAGGTCCCTGGACTTTTTCCTAGGATTGCTTCATATCCCACGTTTCAGCACTTTCTTTTATATGCCCTGGTTCATCGTGACCTCCAAACAACTCGCCACCCCTGGCCCTCACTGGCACCCACACAGATGGTGGAGAGCAGTTCTTGATACTGCAGGCACCTGGACTGTGGCTGCGTCTCATCATCTGCATATATTTGTCCTTCAGGTTTCCTCCTCTCTTACCTTACCTTTACTATGGATTTACCTGCCCCCAGGGTAATCAGGGTCCAGGTCCTGGAATGCTGGCCCCGCCCTCTGGGATCCTCACCTGGCACCCACAGAAACAGCTGGGATTTCCCCCAGCTGCCTGGGGTTCCTTCTCGCCACCCAGCCCCCAGCAGCTGTCTGTCAGCGCTGATCCTACGGACGAAGTTATCTCCCTGCCTGGATACCCTGCGCCAGAACCATGAGTGATCGTCTACTCTGAGGATCACCCTCTGAGGCCCAGTTAACCCGGTCCTCTCTGAACAATAAGTCCCTTTTACTGTGGGAATTATACAGAGCTGCACACATGGGTGGTCTAATTTAGTTATTAATTGTTCATTTCGCTCCTCATCGTTACAGATGGACTCTGTTGGAATTTGGAATGTCATCAATAACGTTTCTTGTGAGAATTTTTCCTGATCTGAATATGTGTAACTACCATCTTTTTGATGTTCTGTATTTCAATTAGTGTTTGATACATTGCTTCCAATACACCCTCCAAAGGCTTTCCTAACAGGCCACAATGACCTAGTTCATTGTTGCTTGCAAAGAGTGTTGTCAGAAATTGTTTTTCATATTATAGCATATGTTACTTAAGAATACTGGTATACAAATTTATACTACTTATATCAGTGTACAATGCTGTGAATGGGCACTTTTGCAACTTACCCATTAATTGTAGTGGGTAAGTTTCACTTCCCACCCATCCCCCTACTGTGTAAAGTATATTTATTTTTTGAAATCGGGTTATACATGGAGCTTTAGCTGCATCCCCTTCTTCCTCACCCATTTCAGAGGGACACACAGGGCCATTGGTATTGGATTTTGAGTTTTGTAAATTGTGTAATCTATAATGAATATAATAAAGCAATGACTTCTTATAGGATGATATTTTCTAAAGGAAGCCATCTTAAAATAGATCTACTGCCTTTTCATTGAATTGTCATCTGGGACCCTCTTCTGAAGCCCTCAGAGAGCCCTCAGTCTCAGGTCAAGGTGGAGGAGAAGGCAGGACTTGGGCAAGTCCTCAAGTCCTACAGGTCCAGGACTGCTGGGGTGGGGGTGGGGACTGAGGGGTCCTGGGATGGGGACTGAGGGAGCTGGAGCATTACAGAGAAGGACGTGTGTGGAGGGAGAGGCACTGAAGTCTGTCTGTGCAACTCGAGGGTATGTTCTTGACTGAGAGGGAGGGAATGTGCAGGGCCCCACAGGTGGGGCCCAAGTTCTGAAGGTAAACTGAGGCAAGGAGTCAGGGTCCTGTGGCTGGATTCTGATGGTTGATGTGGGCAGATGAGCAGAAGAGAGCAGGGAAGGTTTGGGAATGAGAGGGAAGGAAAGGAAGGGGGGTTCTGCGCTCACAAGGGGGCCTGGGTCTTACCTAAAGGGAGGGATGAGGAGAGGGGCAGGGGGCAGGACAAAATCACCTGGGGTTGGTGAGGAGCAGGCGCCTGGATAACCACTGAGAAGGTGACCCTTCCTTTCATCCAGGACAAATCGAATATAACCTTGAGCTGTGAGGAGAGCATAGGTCCAATTGGGGGAAAACCAGTGCAGAGAACCAAGGGCATTGGTGTGAAGAGGGTGAGAGAATGGATGGGAAAGGAATTGAGCTAGAGTCCGAGGACCAATGTGGGACTGAGGCAAAGGAGGGCCCCTGGCAGCAGGGTTCTCTTTTCAAGCTGGTTAGCAGTCTCAGAGGCAGCAGGGAGCCACCCGAGCGTGTGTCTGCCTGTGCAGGAAACTTCTTTCTCTCTCGGGAACATAGAAACCCTTCTCCCAGAAAAGGTCTACTTAGTGTTTAGTAGTCAAGACCACTGAAATCCTTCCTAAGCAAAGTTACCATGATGAGTGAAAGAGACCCAAAGTAATGGCCATGATCAAAGAGGTATATAGTTTTATGACTGATGTTAATAATAAAGTAGATGGAAATTAGACTATAACCCCCCCAAGTGAATGACATGGCCCAGTAAAGGGTCTCCCTGAAGTCCCTGGACTCAGTGACCCTGGCATGCACCAGGCCGTATGTTCTCTGTTGACAACGGGATGCAGCAGTACAGCATCACAGTTCCTGATTGAATCCCTCCGGCACAGTGCTAGTGGGCAGAGCTGTCAGAACACATCCTCACCTGCCTCCCAGGACACTCAACAGCTCTTAGTGAGTCTGTTAATGTCTGATGGAGTGGGCTCCCTACAGGGCAGGCAGCTCTCCCAAGGTATATCCAACTCTCCCCCGACTCTGAACTTCAGGTGCTTTGCACAGTATGTGTCCAGCAGGATATCATCCTTAACTGTCCTAGGGCTCTGCTCTCCAGTCTTCCTGGGAGCCTCCCTGGTCTTCTCAGTTCCCAATGTCAGCCCATTTCTCTGGACAGTGGCTTCCTCTGAGATCTGGGCCCAGCAGGAGTGTACTGAGCGAGCACCCACAGGTCTGGGCCCCTGTGGAGGAGCTAGACATGTCTGCTTTCAGGGGCATGGGTGTCCCCTCTGAGCTTTCCTGCTGAGGGTGTGACCTCTCCTTGGACTTATGAGGCAACCTAGGACATCCAGAGGCACAGTCCCATGATTGCCTTTAGGCCCACTATTCATCAGAAACAACTGCCCCCTGTTCACCTAAGACGACCTGGTCCTGGGTTCCATTGGAAACTAAAAAGGAAAATCACATGGGTTGCTCAGTCTCTCGGGAGGTCAGAATTGCAGCTGACTTCAACCTGGGGTTTGGGGGACAGAAACCTGTACTGTCCTGAGCAGATGATAAAATACCTTCTTCACCATCCCCACCAATGGCTTCCTATTTCCCTCCCTGCCTCTACAGTGGAGTGCCTTGGGGGTATTTTCTCTGGGGAATCAGAGTCTCTGTTAGTACCTTCATTTGGGGACTGGTCTAGTGGTCAGAGAACACGTGAGCCAAAGGCATCCTGGGAGCATTTCCCCTGGGTGTTGAGGTTCAGTGTTGGCATTTGTTGAAGCACAACACTACCAGTCCTGGGGACAGAGACTTAACATCCCCTTTATGAGAAGGCCTCATTTTGCTCCTGGAAAGCACATTGTGTTAATTATTTACAAATAAATAATCAACTTGTGTGGTGGATGATAGTATTTGGGATTCATCTTATTGCAGCATTATTCTCTGGGATGCTGAGGGGTGGAGAAGAATGTCTTTGGTCTAATTGGGATGATTGGGGTGAGTACATCAGCAATTTTCTAAGATACAGAGTGTTGTTGTGGAGTTCACTGAATTTCCAGATAGCTCAGTTGAGAGGTTTTGGAATAAAATTGGAGAAACTTTTCGTGGGCCACGTGGGCAGGTCTGTCTGTCTCCTGTCCCCGTGTTGCTTCTAGACTCAGACACATATGTTGAGGGTCCACCAAGGTTTTCGGGCAAGATACCTGTGATATTGCCCCCCTGACGTTCCCTGTGCAGGGACCTGGCACCCTGGATGCCATGCCTGTCGGGTTGAAGCTGGGTGTCATGCCACTGCCACCTGAAGGGGAGAGGGATGCTGTTGGTGGGCAGGTGGAATGTGGGACCCGAAGTCTGCAGAGAGACGTGTTAAAGAAAGGGGTGTGTGGGCCTCAGCCCAGATCCCTATCCAGGTGCACAGGGGTGCAGGCCTGAGGGTGTTTGCTCAGAACCAGGTAAGGAAAGACAACACCAACAGTGACCTTCCATAGCCGCAGATTTTATTGTTTCCCTCTGCAAGCATGGCTATATTTAAAAGATTTAATTTTGCACTCCATATTTTCTGATCACTTCACTCTCCTACATTTTATGCCACGACTTTTATAAGCAGGTATTTTCTGAAAGTCTCAGCTATTTCCTGAGTTGGGTGTTACAGAATTCTTTCTTACACACACACATGCAGGAACACATACACAAACCTGCTGTTATTTTCTGCAATGAAATATAAAGGAACATTGCTCTACTCTGATTTGAGGATGGCTCTCCTTGGTGTGGGAATCTCTAGGTGTCTGCAACCTAAGTGACCATGGAAGTGCTTACCTTCCTGGTGCAGAGAGCATTTTGTGCACTGTGAATCCTCATGGGTACCAGGAATGTTGCTTTCCCAACAGAGGACTTGTCGTGATCTTCCACTGAATAGTTGTGC